TATCTGAACCCCTTTTTAGACGGGTTGTGTTTTTAATTGAATTTTCTTTATAATTATCAAATACAACAATGTTTGAAAATATATCGGCATATTCCTCAAATGATTTACATTTAGGAGGTTTTCCTAGAGCCTGTACTAATGACATACCATCTAAAATGTGACAAGTTTTTCCATCATCTGAGAAAGTAGGTAAACTTTTATAGCATGTTCTATATTTTTCAATTATACTTCCTAGAGCTGCTTTGTTGGACGGTGTACTTAAACAACCATTTATTGTCAGGGACATAGGAAATGCTGACAACTCATATTGAAATATTTCATTATAATCCACCGTTTTTCCCATTTCTTTTGCTGTTAAAAGGCGTTGAAGAAACTCTTGGCCTTGAAGTGTTTGTGATTATGATGTGCACATTCCGGATTTTCGTTTAGGATTCGCTGGTTTATTTAACATTTTCAAAGGTTTGTAAAAGTCAATCGTGTCCATAATGGCCACGGAATTTTTCAATGCAGTTTCACCTGTTTCTTTTGCTGTCATTTTTAAAATTTGTACTTCCTTGGAATAGACTTCCTTCGTTGAAATAGATGTTAAGTTATCCCCGGTGTAATGAAAGACTTCATATTTATTTAATCGTTCTACTAAAGTCACTACAGTTTTTTAATCTACAAGGATTCGCTGCTTTCCAATATCAATATTTTGGCTGCTACTAGCATCAGATAATTTTAGAGAGTCTAAAAATGTTTCAACCATAAGTCCTATCTCATTATAACTTAAGTACCACTCGTCCAATCTAGTGCTATTTGTAGTTAAACCAACTATACCCCCAGCATCTTTTGATCTTTTATTTACATGTTCCAATGCTTGATCGACTCATATTCTATTGAATTTTCCATCCATTCTTTTCACAACAAAATTTCCTTCCATGAATTCCCTATGTACCTCTGGAGCTTGCTGTGAGAGGTTTAGCATATCACACATGTATATACATCCCCATTTACTATAATTTCTATGATCATATGAAAAAAACCAAGGAATCATTTTTCGGAAGCTCTGCAAGTGTAATGGCCAGTTTCCAACTCGGGGCCAGTTTCCAACTCGTTCAGCATAAACAAATTCTAGCAGAATTTCAACTAATTCCATGTAACTAACATATTTGGGCACTGATTTTGCAAAAACTCCGCAAAAGTATTTTTTAGCTGCCCGGTGCTTTTTACCATTTCAAAAAATTATATAATGATTCCTTTTTCCGTATAGAATCATAGATTTCTCCTGTCATTAACTTTGAGTCATTTAATCTGTCAATAATGTCGCAATTGCATTCTGTTAGCCATTTTTCAAATAACGGAATTAGTATTCTCATTAAACTCTCATAAGTTATTTTGTGAGCTCTTACACCCTTATTCCACTTTTTTCCACTTAAAATTGCAGCAACCGTAGATTCTCCATATAAACCCGTTTCCAGCCAGACGTTGTTTAATCCTGATTCCAGCATATGCTGTCCAATCACTTTTAAGAAATTAAACATAATGTGGAAACCACCTAAACGAATTACAAAATTTTCACATTCCTGTGGTCGAAGCCACTGTAGTTGTTTCGCTTTATAATAAAGGGCTTGGTCAAATGTTATCATGGTATACTGCATATTTAGATTTTCTGCAATTTGATCGCATCGTGTCATAGTTGTCCATATTATTGTGTCATATTCAGAAGAAACATAGGGTAATAAGGGTAAGTAACCATAAGTTGTGATGAATGCATCCTTATCCTGATGAAGCAGTTTTCCGAAACCTGACCACTGAGGCACCACAATTCCCGTTTCACTTGCGTCGTAATTTACTGCTCTACATAAAGTCCATAATAGGTTATATGAAAACATGAAGTTATCCTCATCGTTGTTCTGTAAAATATAATTTTTATTTGTTACAAGACCTGACATTAATTTTATCCAAGTTATGAAAACTCTTCGCAACCTCTAATTTCTGACGGTAAGGTAAAAATTTTAACATTTTAGATGCTTCTTTATTAGCGGGTCCTTTTTGGAAAGCTACAATTTGAGTTCCATGAAAAGTTGGAGATTTATCAAGCGTTTCTTCTAGAATATCGATATTGTCTGCTGCAAATTGTATAAATCGGTCTGGCACTAACTGACGAAGAATACAACAGTTGTCGTTGTTTTTAAAAGCGTGAAATCTCTTCTTGACCTATGCTGTTTCTCAGCCTTAATACGTCCTTATAGGAAACAAAGTGACCACATGAGTGCAATATTTCTATCAGTTTTTAGATCTTGTTTCCGGATGTATAGAGATTCCTAACCCAATATGTTTTGGAGTAAATTTTCGGCCTTTAAAACTGTTATAAATAATGTCTTGGAATATGTTCACAACAATGATACTATCTGAGTTGCTATCGTCAGAAACTAATAAACTAATGATCCATAACAAAGCTTCAGGTATATATTTTTTGTAATTGGTGACACTTAAATCGATAGAATCTGAAAGATTGGGTATTTGGTTCATTTGAGACTTGATATCTCCACATATTTTATGGATTTGAGATAACTCAGATACACCGGTAAATACTGAAGAAGTGGGCGAAGTCGTGGCTTCTATGTAACTATGAACTGTTGTAGATTTGTCAATAGCAGGTATCAGTACTGAAGGACTATTTGCTTTTTCGGATTTTATAATTTCAATTTGTGAACCAAACCGGTCTCTCAATGATACCATAACTCGTCGTTTCGATTTAACACCCCCAAGTTCCTTGTAACGATTGTATATAGAAGAACTAGAAAAACCTTTCCCATTTTTAATTCCCTTTTCAACAAACGCGAAAATATTTTGTATGGGTGCTTCAAGGATACTTTGATCTGACATTTCATCTACGTCATGTTGCACAGGTTTCTTGTTTAGTTTTTTTAATTCCATAGTTAAACAGTTTGGATGGTATTTTAATTGCATAGCTATTAAATCATTTGACCTTATTCTCTGCATAACAGTAGGCGATGAAAGAGCAATATTTCGTATTTTATATTCTATCTTTTTTGACATAACTTGTGATAACCTTTTCCTTCGGACCGCTTTTGACAAAATACGCACTTTTTATTTTTAAATCTACCATAACGAATTGTTCTTCGCAATGGAGACGGTGGCTCAAAACCAGCTTCTTTAAAGTCTGCCAGTCGTTTAGCTTTATTGTGTAAACTTGCAATATTTTGTTTTGACGTGGTGTAACCGATATAACATATTTCATGCCAAATAAGATTATCATATTATTATGACCCGCTTTTAGCATCTGAAAGTGCTTTGTGAATTTCAGGATTTGTGGTTTTACTAATGTCATATCGAATATTTGTGGCTTTTATAATTGTCAAAAAAGTCTTCTCGGTTGTATTGATTAACAAACCCTCCCTAATTCAACGGATTATACACGAGGCTCCTTTTACATTAAATTTCACATGGATATCAATATCGCTTTCCGAACTACTGGTGTCGTTAATTTCCATTATTTCATCATTTTTATTAAACAGGTGAATCATCCAATTCGCACTTCTAATCACATCGACTGTAACAAAACAATGAAAACTAGCATAAGCCTTGCATGAACATTGCCACAGCTAACATTGCAGATGTGCGAAAAGTGAGAGGGAGCTACGGAGAAAAGTGAGATGGACGAGTACTCCTGCAGTGCCGGAGCCGGCCCTCGCGGCTAGAAAAAAATTACTTTTTTAATATTTAATTCTATATTTCCCTTAAAATTTAGGCAATTCTTGCACATATATATTCTAGATACATGGGGCAAACTTTTTGCAAAAATAAAAAAATTTGATTTGAGCCTTCATTTCGGAGATAATGCGAGGTGAATGCAAGAATTAGTATATTTCACTCAGATTTTGCTCAGGTTTGAACAGAGATATTTCAATTTTTAGATTTCTTTTACCATAAGGGTCAATGTATTCGGCTTATTTCAAGCAATGTTAAAAAATATAATTTGTACAAAAATATAGATAAATTATATATGGGAACAGTCATAAATTAATATTCTATACGTTCATGCAATAATCTCAATTTTTAAATATAGTGCCCTTTTGCCCGTTCTGATTTTTTATTACCTTGGGATTCTGAATAAACATAATAAAACCTTCAGTCTGTGAAAATTTCAGCTTGTAACCCCGACGCGCCCACAGAAGTCAAAATATATTAAGGGAGCACTCTACTATCTTTAAAACTTAGGAATCAACTTGCCGTTTGTTTGAGCCAATGGCTCTTAACATGAAATTGCAAGTTACTTGAAATCGCCCAACTTAAACTACTCGTGAGATATACCTACCTATTCACATACTGGAGTGATACTATATTTCCAAAAATTAAAAAAATCGCCCTTAAATATCTATCCTACAAGCCATCTATTCTTCTGTGAATTCAAAAAGAATATTTTCCACAGCAGGACTTATCCAGACTCCTAAGAGAATTCGTCGAGTCCGCAAAATTCAAAAAGCGATTTTTTGTGTTTCTTAAACGCACCACATAAAATAAATGCTTCATGCAATTTATTTTCTATACTTTTTGGCTTTTGTATAATGAAAGATAATATCTCAAAAGTTTTCCACTCAAAATATTGTTTTTACAATACGGAATGTGTTGTTTAAGTTTCACCACAAGGATCTATAAAGATTTTTACCCAAACAATCGTTCATCACTGATCATACATTGTTTGCTCATTTAAAAAACAATTAAAAGCCGATTTTGAAATTCTACATTGTAAACATTTTACCTTGAAACTGATAAATAATTCTAGAAAGATGATTGAAATAAATAGGTTCCAAACATCTTCGACATAGATTTGATATTACGACAAACACAATATTCAGGAATTGCCAAATCTTGATATCTTAATCTCAATGCAAATATTAGTTAACTCTTGATAATTAATAGACATTTCAATGTTTATTTACCTAAACATAGAATAGATAAAATGATTTAAATATTATAAATTTCTCTTTCAGGTCACTACAGGTGAAAATGACCTGGACAAAGACGAAGTCAACATCATCAGTGGAGCTTTGGAGCTTCGCAGAAAATTAGTAACCGAGGTCATGACTAAAATCGAAGATGTCTTTATGTTAGACTATGATGCTATTTTGGACTTCGAGACAATCACTGAAATAATGAGGAGCGGCTATTCTCGGTAAGTATTTATCAGAAAAACCAACCAAATTTTTATTAATCCGCGAATTTATCCAGAATCCCTGTCTTTGACGGCAACAGACAAAACATCGTAACGATGCTCTACATCAAAGATCTAGCCTTCGTCGACCCTGATGATAACACACCCCTAAAAACTTTGTGTCAGTTCTACCAAAATCCGTGCAATTTCGTCTTTGAAGACGTCACATTGGACGTTATGTTCAAAATATTCAAAGAAGGCAACAAAGGTCATATGGCCTTTGTGTCTAGAGTCAACTCGGATGGAGAAGGGGATCCTTTCTACGAAACTGTCGGATTAATTACATTGGAAGATGTCATTGAAGAACTAATTCAAGCCGAAATTGTTGATGAAACTGATGTTATTAGTAAGTATTTTATTGATTGTTGTTTCCTGGTAACATGTCAGCTTTTATAATACTTTCATGTGTGTTAATGACGCCAACTGAATAAAATCGTTGATTAAAGTTGAATTTTCCAGAGGTGAGTATTCATTATTTGGGAAAAGGTGCCAAATTGTGCAGTTTTTCAAAAAGAAAATCGACCCATTAAAAACCTCATTTTTTTTTTTTTTCCAGCGGACAACAGGACAAAACGTCGTAGAAATCATGCGAAAGCTGAAAAAGATTTTACGGTATTTGCAGACAAAACGGATAAAAACAAAGTCAGGATGAGTCCTCAGCTTACTTTAGCCGCTTACCAGTATTTAAGCACCAGTAAGTGTTAATATATTCAATGATTTCTTTGAAAGTGTTTTATCTTTATTTTTTACTATTTCAGGTGTCGAGCCATTCCATGTCAACGTAATATCCGAAACAATCCTGAAACGTTTACTCAAACAGGACATTGTTTTCCACATAAGGAAAAATAAAGAATGGCGCACCGATCCTTTGAACGTGATCTACGTCCAAGGCAAGGCTGTAGACTATTTCGTTATTATTTTAGAAGGGCGCGTTGAAGTGACCGTTGGCAAGGAAAATTTGGTGTTTGAAGGCGGTCCGTTTACATACTTTGGCACGCAGGCGTTGGTCCAGACAGTTGGAATTGGTAAGTTTAGAAAGAGAACATATTAAGAGGAAAAAATATTTAAACTATGCATTAAATTTACCTACTAACTCCTTTTTAAATTTTACTTGGATTTAACAATTTTCAATTGAGTGAATTGGGTAAATAAAATTATTGAATATTTTCCTGGGTCCTTATTCTTGAAACAGGGGAGCAGCGTTTGCAGGAGAACGAGCGTTTCGTCTTTGTTACTTATATTGTCAATTGCATATCATTGAGAAAGCCAGAATACTCGTTCTCCTGGGAACACTGCTCCCCTGTTCCAAGAATAAGGACCCTGGGCTGGAACTCTGTAACGGATAGCGATCAATGTCTCTATCTCTAGTGGCGTCCCCCTCTCTATTAATTTGGATAAAAGAGAAGAAGACAGCAAGTGCCATAGCGATAGGGATAACGATCTCTATCCGTTACAGAGTTCCAGCCCAGGTCTCATAAATAAGTGTGATTTTTGGAATGGGAAAGGTATTGTTGTTCATTCCAAACAAAGATTGCTATGGTTTTTTAAACTTACCTCGCATTATTGTTTCTTTATTGTTCAGGGTCAGGTCATGAAATTTTGACATTAAAGTTCATTGACAAAACTAAAGAAAAATATTGCTAGGAAGGCTAAGGGTCGGTATCATAAAACATTGAACCGATGGTTGAGTTTCAACCTTCGGTTGAATCCTATCAATTTGCATGGAGTCAACCGTAACCATAAGACATAATACGCCCAAAAAACCATAGCAATCTCTGATTGTTTTTTTTTTTTTTTTGAAGACCCGTTATAAATATAATTAGTGACTGCCTTATTGTGACAGAATTAATGGATTAATATTGAGACATCCAAATCCAAAATAAATAGGCTGAATATTATAATGTTAGTATTCCCTCGAAATGAATAATAGGCACAGTTACGCAACTCGCTGATACCAGCACCACAAACAAACCCTAGGGCTTTTTTCTGTATGATTGAAACATAAATAAATTCTTATTTGCTATTTAAATCAATAAACTGCCTGGCGCGTTTCGGTTTAAAACCATTTTTGAGGGCTTATAAATATATCACTTTCGCAAACAAGCAGAACCTCAAAAACTAACATTTTTGAAAAATACAGAAACCGCAAAACAAACGAAATTGAACTGATAATCCAAAAAATTAAGATTAATTAGGGTTTTGGAAGTAGAGCCCCAGAATGAATATTCCACAAGTGTAACCCAACACCCCTTCCCAGTTTCTGTTTAGCTAACTAAGGGCCTCACTTTTTTTTTTAGAATCCCCTGCAGCTCCAGCAGGTATGGGCAGTCTTGAATCACTAAACATAGACTCTATGTTGCGTCACACTTTCATTCCTGACTACTCAGTAAGAGCTACTACGGAAGTTTTGTACTTAAAAATAAAGCGTAGCTTGTATTTGGCTGCCAAACGTGCTACGCTCATGGAAAAATCAAAAAGAGGGAATCAAACGAAGGAACAGTTTGATGAAGAAATTGACAAAGTAAGTTATTCAAATACCCAAATCCTGATAAGAAACAGAATGACAATAATTATTGTTCAGGAAATATTGGTATCTATATTTTTCTTTTTAGTTACTCTATGCTACTGAAGATGATGATATTAGTTCTGGCAGGATAACTCCGCGTAGAAAATCGTCCAGAAATCTGCAGAACAAGAGTCAACAGGAGTTGATTAATCAGACTGAGGTAAATGTTAGAAATTTCGCAGATCGTTTAGGCTTTTGTGATTGCTTAAACATTTATTTTTCATTCGCTCAACATAAAATTTCAAAATTAAACTGCTTTAAAGCTAATATTACAGGATACGGTGTTTAGTTTCTTGAAATCATTTTATTAAGTTTTATACTGTCTTGCAATGTTATCATCAGTTAGATAACATGGTACTAAAACGCACTTATGCAGGGAAATAGATGGGGAGTGGGGAATTCCGATGGTGAAAATGCTTAAGAAAATGTTGTCATAAACGAGGAAAATATATAATTATACACCATGTTGCATTTACTTATTCAGTTAATTTATATTCCGTAACTTGTAACTGGTGAGGTGGGGTTTCTCATACCCCACAGATTTTAAGAATCTTTACCACGTATTAACTAATAATTGGAGGCCCGCTACCTCCTGTGTAGCTTTCAGTCCGTCGTCCGTCAGTACTCTATGGTGTCAACAACGCGCGATATTTTACTTGGTGTGCGATATTACGATTTTTGTACAAATTGGGTTGCGTAACTCCAACTCACTGTGAGTCGTTTGGGTTAGTTTGGGTTAATTGCTCTCCAAAAAGTTTACTTGAAATACAATTTTGCTAAAACCTTGTTCCTTGAATGTTTTCCAAAGATTTTTAGACACTTTTCCGCCATTTTGTATTTTTTATTAAGTTTTGATGTGTGTTTTTAGCAGTCCCACAGTAAAATTGAATTATTCCTAAAATATTTGTTTTTTCATTGTTGAAAGTATGTACCAACGCGTTCCAAAAGGACAAATGTTACCCAAAAGTGAATTTTGAATTAGCGGAATCGCCTTTTCCATTTGGGGTTCAGCAAACCCCACCTCACCGGTTATGTAACAAAAAAATGACCTCACCAGTTACGGGATATACAAAAAAAATTGGAATAACCTATGTAAGACGTTTTCATGGGGGTTTTGGGGTTGTAATATTAGGTGGAATCATTTTACACCACTTGGTCAATGTGTTGTCTCGTGAGGGGGTGAAAAATCTGATTACATTACTTCATACTTATTTTCGCTAAAAGAATATATGTCAAGAAATAGCAAAACATCGGTGCAAGACGTTTTTTTCAGGGGAAAAAGTACACAAAACCGTTTTCTGTTAACGTCAGCAAGTTCTATGGGTGCGCAATCGGCAAGCCCGTATTCGACAGACTGGGATTAAATTTATTGTTAAATGATGCACTTTATTAGAATATGTACACGTTTATTTACAGATTATTTACAGATTAATTATTGTTATGACCGATTAATTAGGATCACGTTTTATTGATAAATTTTAATGGGGCCATTCTGCCTTTCTTTTTTATTGGGTTTTCGAATTGCCTGAATACAATATAAAATGTATGTAACAATAATTTGATCCACCATTCGTTATTCAGTTAGAAAAAAAATATTGAATTTGTCGATACAACGAGTCTATTCAAAACGCGCGCCTAACGTGACGTCACATGACTCTGACCAATAGCATTGTAGTCTCCGAATCCGTCGTCAGAACTAGAAATCAACCAATTAAGGGGGCGGTTATGACATTGAAATCTGTCAGTTCTGTGTTGATTTTTTGATCAAAATAAAAATTGATATCTGGTTGCCTATTTTTCAGGGTTTAGGTCGTTCTGGGTTATTTTCGTTGGTCTCCTATTGGCTGGAGTCATAAAACGTCATAAAGGCGCGAAAACATAAATTTCAAATGATTGCATAAATTCATTCTTGAATAAAATTGTTATGTTTCAATGCATAATTTTAATAATCATATTAAACGGCAATTTTGGGCAGTAGAAGTACTTGTCTCACCTTAGAAAGATTCATTTCAATTCAGCGGGACGGCCCCATTATCAGGACGGAATGCTTGACCAATGACACATCAGCTGCTCTGTGTCGTTTTCCGAGGTTATGTTGTCTGAAATGTCAGAACAGGTTTGTTCCGTTTTCTGAAAATAATCGTCCCCATCAAGCTATCCATACAACTCCTGATAGAAGTGGTGATAATCTCCCATTTTTAACCGTTTTTGAATAATTGGGTGGGTATGGTATTCTGAGGGTAAATGTCACAGAACATACCAATTTGTAGCGGACGAACATTTTTAATCGTCAAAACTGTCCGACATCGCGATCAGATATGCGGGATGAAAGATAAGAAATTACCAAGATTTTTTTTTGAAATTAAGTCCGTGTCTATATCGCCCACATCACTAACATTATTTGGGGTTGCCTCATCTTGGTCATTTTCATTTTCTTCAGGGCTTTCGTCAACTTCAACGTCGCCTTCGTCGATCTCTATGTTCTCCTGTATATATCCGATATTTTGGCTCCGTGATATTTTGTGTTTGGTTTATTAAAGGTACCTGCATATATTTCCAATAACTTTCTTTAGCTCAGACCGAACGAGATACCGAATTGAGAGGATATGAGCTCTATGACATTTTGTAGAGTTCCTTCAACTGTAGCTTTGATATCCAAATTGAGAATTTCTCGTTTACGTGGTAATTTTTGTTCTGGCATTTTTATTCCAGGTTCTAGGAAACGACAAGGTACGCATCTTTGTTCAAATATATATGTGGTGTCTCGTACATATCGTTTTTCATTTTTTTTTCAATGCTGCAGTGGTACCACTTCCAATTTGGAACTGGCAAAGAATGCAGTAGCTCTGTATCGTCTGGGTTTGTTTTGTTTTTCTCTTTTTATTTGGGAGCTAAACGATAAACTAGACATCAAATCAGTATTTAAATGCATATCTCTTAGAAGGCCGTCTGAGGAAAATCCTTGGAAAAATCCCATAATTGTGATGCCAAATTTCATAACTTCCTCCTTCATCAATTCCCAACTCAAAGTGACCTGCTCGGTAGTACACGGATTATCAGGTTCCGAATAAGGACAGGCAGTATGTCGATGCCCCAGTATGTAATTGTCGAGCCATTATTACATAGGCACAGGGTTAGCATAGAATTTCCCCAGGTTATAAAACCCAGTGGGGTTTTTCGGGTTTTTTCAATTGATAAAACCCACCATTATTGGGTTTTTTGGGTTATTTTAAAAATAGCAAATTTTCAGTTGAATGAGCGTCATTTTCAGTTTTCACAGGAAATATTAGGGATTCCCCAATGGTTCCCAGTCCCCGGCTGTTTCGTTATTGGCGTTTGGCGTGGTCTGGGCAGGGACTTCGTGCCATGTAGGATTTAGAATTCGACATATAGACCGTCAGATAGTGACAGATTTAGTTGCCCCATTTTCGCATAAAAGCCTCGAAGAGGATTGAAAAGTACTTCGATGTTGAGTAGAATGGAGGGAAATTCACGAGTCGTCCCTGGGGATAAAATATGGAAAATTCGATTTTCGTTAACCAAAATAAAAGGTGTCTGTTGCCTATATTTCCATGCAAGCCGTGTTCACTAAATGATTAATTACTAAAAACCTAGCTTCGGAAAACCAAAGGCTTGAGTGCCGCAGGTGGCTAAAGGGTTGAAAATAGGGCTTAATCTTGTAAGAAAAAATCGAAATTTCGACCGATTTTTGCACACAAGCCTATCGGAAGTATAAAAACGTTCATCGTCACTACCCCGAAAAACATATTGGCTTGAGTAGCGGGAATGGATAAGTACATTTTGAGGTTGGAAAATTTGACCGATTTTTCTTTCGATTTTTCAGTTATTTTCCTATGAACGAAATTAATTTCAATAAAAACTTATGAATAAAAGAGTCTGGAAAAAAATAATGGCTTGAGTCTGGACCGTGGCCTACAAATTTTCAGAACATAGGAAAGTTGCAGAAATTTAATGCAAATCGACACCATTTTCTCACACAAGCCATTTGACATTTTTATGTCTTTAATAAAGGTTCTGGTACAAATAAGGCAATACGAAATGCTCTGAAGTTTCTATTCTCTAGCTTCAATCAAAAACTGACAATAGTTATTTGTCATCTGCTTGACAAAACATCTAAAGTCCAATCTATCATGGATATTTTCATACAAATTATACAAATACACTACACTCCTCCCTACTGATCTTTTAACTACACTATAACAATCAAAACCTAAACCTAAGACAAAATACATACCTACTACAGATATTTGTTAATATAAAAACATTGAAACAACTTATAAATCTAATTTAACAGGAGGTCTCACATGGCGACTGGAACGACGTAAAACAGGCGTTTCTGTGTTAGTTTGTACTAAAATACTTGATTGTATTTCTTTAGAGGTCTCTGAAATATCTTCGTTACAATCGCCAATAGCATCATTTATGCTAGACCTTTGAATTTTATTAAATTCAGTTACAACTTTGGGTTCATCATGCCCTAGCTTATTTTCATTAAGTGGAAACGGTTTTTCATTCAAAGAATCGTTATTTTTGATAGGGGTTTCTCTAGTTTTTTTATGACTGTAATTATCCTTTAGATCAGTGGTTCCCAAACGTTTTTAACCTACCGCCCACTTTTAGAAAATGGGAATTATCCAACGCCCCCCTTGGCAGGGATCCAAGATATTGAAGCGGCGCCATTTTTTTAAAAAATTCTCATGGTCGTGCTTTTTTTTAGTGAGAGACTGAGCGTCAAGTTACCTCCCCAGTAGGGTTTTGTCCAATATGGAAATTTTGAGAAAAACCTGATACAGCACAATTCAGCACACTTCAGATTTCATAGGAATCCATTTTTGTTTCATCTTATTTCCAAACTTTTGGAAGGCTGAGCGTCAAGTTAGTCCCCCAATGCGATTTTGCCTGAAAATAACCGAATATGGAAATTTCGAGATAACCTGATGCAACACAGTCCAGCACACTTCAAATTGCATAAGAATCCATTTTTGTTTCATCTTATTTTCAAAATTTTGGAGAGCTGAGCGTCAAGTTAGCACCCCCAGTAGGATTTGGTCGGAAAATGACTGAATATGGAAATTTTAACAAGAACCTAATACAGCTCAGTTCAGTACACTTATTCCGATTGAATAAGAATTCATTTTT